GTAGGCCACCATTTTGACTGAAAGTTTCCAATTGTATTATACACAAGCTTGAAACTACATAATCTCATTTCATTGCAACAGTAAGTTAACTGAAAATGGTTTTATTTCTTAAGATTTTCTAAATGATCTCAATCACTGTGGTCTTTTGACTATTTGTGAATTGTTCATAATGGTCTCATTAAGTCTACAAATGTACATACAAGAGAGTTGGTCATTTCTTTAAAATGTATGAAGAAAAATGCTCATCCAAATATGAAATAGCAATGTCAGTCATGAAGATGCCATGATTCGTAATGAAAAAGAACCCTCATTTATTGAATGCTATTATGCCTGCAGCTGCAGCATTCTTCACACCTAAGCTTTTTTTCCCTCAAGTCATCCATGTTAATAATTGACATTATTACAGTAATCTCAGATATGAAATTAGCCAAGATCAATGGCCTTTCTTTTGACTAACTCTTTCTTATAGTTAACTAGAGGCCTGGTGCATGAAATTTGTATATTGGGGGGGCGGGGAGGGTGAGGTCCCTCTCAGCCCGGCCTGCACCCTCTCCAATCCAGGACTCCTCGGGGGATGTCTATCTGCCAGTTTAGGCCTGATCCACAATTCAGGACCGCTGGCTCCTAACCACTCACCTGCCTGCCTGCCTGATCACCCCTAACCACTCTGCCCACCTGCCTGATCACCCCTAACCCCTCTTCCTGCCTGCCTGATCGCCCCTAACCACTCTCCCCTGCCTGCCTGATTACCCCTAACCTCCTTTGCCTCGGCCCTGCCACCGTGGCTTTGTCCGGAAGGATGTCCAGTCTATCCGGTCTAATTAGCATATTACCTTTTTATTAGTATAGATGGCTCATCAAAGACATTCTCAAACAAAGACGTAAGTTTGTGTGATACATTGGCAAAGTATCATATAAAAGATATATATATATAAAGGACTATTTTTCTGAACAACAATAGCAAGAATGAGCCCATAGATTCTCTAATCCCTACAATAATACAATTTAGAAATCAAAAATTCCTTTCAGAGGCACAGAGTAAATTGGCAAAATGTTTCTTTAAAAAAAATACAATTTGTACAATTAACCTTTTATGCATGAAAATATTATGGAAAATATTTCATAAGAGGGTAAGAAAATTAGCACCTTTTATTTGCCACTGTCTGACATAAAAGATTGATTTTTTTTTTCTTTGCCTGTTACCTTCCTAGTTTTTCATCACGTAGGTTACATTGATATTAAAGAATTATATTCACAGTGAACATGCAGTTCTGTTTTATTTTTAGTTTATATAATTCTGCGTAACATTCATCCCTGCTCTTATATGGGCTCCATTCACCCACTTTCCCAGGATGGCACATGGAGTCATCATAACTTCCTTACTTCCTCTGGCCACATCTGGCGAGTCCCTCATTCTGTCAGGCTCACTTACTTAGCATCTCTCATATCAGACTTTCCTCTCCATTTCCATACTTCCTTCAGGCACTCATCTTATCTCTCCCTAATCACTGCTGCTGCCTGCCTCCCTGATTGCCCCTAACCACTCTCCCCTGTTGGCCTGATCACCCCTAACCGCCTCTGCCTTGACCCTTCCACCTGGCTTTCACCCATTCCTCCCATACAGTGCTATCAGCGTGATCTTCCTACAGCCACTCCCATTGCTAAAGAGTTTTATTTTACCACATCTAACTGCATGCAGGTTTTGTGTCGCCTCTATCACATTATTGATAGATACAAACTTAAATGCCAACATCATTGCTAGGAACTTTCTCTGAGAATGTGACATCTTCCACATGTCACCACTTCTTCTTTGCCTTTAGAAAGAAGATGGTATATTCAACACTGTATCAGGAACAAAACACACATACACACATAATGATAATACTGAAGGATAACAAATAAGGGTGACTTCTCTTAATTATAATTACAGACACCTCTTCATAAATTCTCTTAAGAGAGGTGAAAAAAGTTGTCTGTGTTTCTCAAACAAATTCACTGGCAACCTAGCATTTATTTTAACTAAATTTTGACTAAGGCAAAATTTGAGTTTACCTTTTTTATTTTGGGAATTGTTTTGATGATCAAAAAACACCAACTGTTAACCTTGCAATAATTTAAGGTCATTAAGATGCATTATGGTTTATAAAGCTCCATTGTATTATTTTCTTTAATCATAAGCAACCCTATAAAACAGAAAGGTGTTGTCCCCATGTTACAGAAAACTGAGTCCATTGACCTGGCCATGGTCACAAAGCTGCTATACTGACTTGGGTCCAAGATTTCTCATTCCAAATCTCTGCACTAATTCACAGATTCTGAGCTGCTTACACACACACACACACACACACACACACACACACCCCTTGTGATTTGCATGAAATAGAAGTAATAACAAAGAAACACTTAAAATGAAGCTATATAATGTAGTTATTTTTATTGCTCCTGATAATGTTATAAAACCACCTTTTTACCTATTTTCATGTCCTGTCTAGTGTCGTTTTTCTTATACCTCACTGCTTAAATGTTGCATTTTCCAAGCATATGAATAGAAAATGTCCAGCTGCCCAAAAAGAGCAGATTGATATAATACGAGCTCTTTGTTTGCTCACAGAATAGGCACAAGTTGTGCCCTGCCAGCTGCTTTGTCCAAAGTCTGAACCTTGCTCTGTAAGAACCACCTGTATGACTGGCTGTATAATTAATTCCATACTCCAGTTTAGCCTGGGGATCTTCTATTAATATTAGATCAGATACTGCCTCTGAATGCGAACAACATACCACTCTCTGAATTAGATTTGGACCACTGAGACCAGGAGGACATGGACCTCAAAACACTGCATTTAGGAGGAGTATCATTTATTGGAAGCTTCTCGTATGAAACTGTTCTGGCAGAGAAATGTTTTAGTGCTGCAGTCGGGATACCCAAGTACTGAACCCACGAGTATTAGTACTCAGAGTGTTAAGACTTAAAGAATTGCCCTGTCTCACTCATTTCATTTCAGATAGCAAATTGCTCTAAGATGACAGTGTAGAGGCCAGATTACATCCCTTTTTCTTGGGGGCGGGGGAGGGGACGGCGGGGTAGGAGAGGAGTGATTCATAAAAGACATCTATCCAGAAAAAATGGACTTATTAACATTGGAAACTGATCCCAGGGTCACTTCAAGATCCAGCAGAAACTTTGGTAGTGCCTTAGAGATCAAAGAAGACAAGCCTATGAGTCAATGCTGGGAGTCTTTTGTATCTAGTAAACGTAGCCCGGGGTTTGCGCTCAACTTTAGGGACAGTCATTTTCAGGACTCTTAGAAGACACTAAGCATTTCAGTGCCTAACAACTGGCAATAATCAGACAATACGTCAACTAAATCTTGGAAGCTCATATTATTTAAATAAAGTCTTCATTCTTTAATCAGCACAGTCATTAAGGGGAGTTTACATATGTGCTTTCCTTCTAGTCAAACAATAATAATCACCTCCTCTTCCCCTGATGAAATTACACCTTATTTGAACATGGGCTGAGCGTGTTGTTGCAGGAGAAAGGGGAAGAGACAGTGTTGAGTTTTCCTAAACATTTCCAGCTCCATCTGTTGACAGAACCTTGAGATACTTGGAAGCTGGGCTTCTGCTGCCTACAGTAACAGTTGTTCCACGGGAAATGTCATTGTGAGTGGGATATGACACCGGACTGTTAAACTGCGTTCCAAGTGACCTTATCTCCATTACTTACTATCAACACTTGGCTCACGACCTGGAAGACATCACTTGTTCCCACTCAGTCAGAAGTAGCAGCCAGAGGACGAGCAAAGCCACGCTGTGACTGAAAGTGAGGGAGCCGCTTTCCATCGCTCCCTACCGCAGAGCATTCTCTGTTTCTAAATTGTTTAAATTTGGTGTGCAGGGGATTGCTTCCTGACCCTGGTGTGCTTCCTACATCTGTTTAGTCTTAAGTGCTTCCTAAAATATTTTTCAAAATCCACTCGTGATTTCCTAATCCTTCTTAATACATGGACTGCTTAACATGCAACTCTTCCTCTTTTAAATCCCAGCTTTGAAAAATGCAAACAAATGGGTGAGCCTTAGGAATGGATAGCGGAAAAGATGAGTGGGGGCCACTAGAAGCCTAGCAGAGTGATGGCAGCACTATTGTTCATGCACCTTACAGAAATGTTTCATTATTTGTCTGTCTGGTCACTTCAACAAGAAACGTTAAGATGTTGTCATTACAGCCGTTTGTGTTGGATTCGGGGGAAATAAATGTATTGCACTCCCTCTGCTGGCTCTGAAGTTGCAACACCTCATTAACCAGATCTATATTTAGATGTCTTTTCCCATTTGAGGAAAAAAAAAAAATGGTGTGTGGAAAAAAGGAAGCAAAAGCTGGGAATGTTGTTAATTTTATTATTCATTTAAAATGTCAGGAAAAACAAACATCTGCCCAGTGCCAATGGTTAGGGTGAGCAAGAAAGCCAGCAGTTTTTAGGCCTTCCAGCCCTGGAACAGCCTTTACAAATCACTCCGTTCCTTTCAAATACTGAAACAATCTTTTCCCAGAGCTTAATAAACAAACCAGTGGATTAGCATGCTCAGTATGTTCAAAACAGTCTGAGGGACAAACACAAAGGCATGTATTTGGCTTGGGGCAGGAGGGAAAGGAGAGGGTGTCTTTCACTTGGTGTCAGAAAGGAAAACTAAAAGATCCTCACCTGAATCTTTTTACCTCTGGGGAGGCTGCTTCAGGCATGAAAGCATGCTACCCACAAGCCTGGAAGAGAACCAAGCACCATGGAATTTTACAGCCGAGGGGACCTAAGAAGCAATGGCTCTCCTCTTGAGTGAGAAAGAGAGCTTAGCCAGAGAGCAAAATGCTCCAGACATCCGAGGACCATGAGGGCCCCGGCCCGTTTTATCCATGTTTATCAGCATTCAGAGGATTTTCTTGCAAGGCCCGTGTTTGCCCGGGCTCAGCTCTCTTCTCCATTCTTGCTTGCTCTCTTCCCCAGGCGGCTGGATGCCAACCACATCAGCTACGTTCCCCCCAGCTGTTTCAGTGGCTTGCATTCGCTGAGGCACCTGTGGCTGGATGACAACGCTCTGACGGAAATCCCTGTCCAGGCTTTCAGAAGTTTATCAGCACTGCAGGCCATGACCTTGGCCCTGAACAAAATACACCACATACCAGACTATGCCTTTGGAAACCTCTCCAGCTTGGTAGTTCTGTAAGTTCTATTGATTTTTTTTTTCTCTCTCCCTTTTAACAATTTCTAAATCCACTCTAAGACCTTGACCTTAAAATGCTGGCCCTTCAAACCTTGAATAGGGACATTTTAAGGGTGGAAAACCCCCTGAATCCCTCCCCAAAATGACTCATAAGTGTTCTAATTGTATAAAAGAATGAAACAACATTTATGGAACACCTGCTAAGTGCCAAGTACTGTTGGGCATTCAAAGATAATAAAATATAACCTCTGCCCATTGTATATTGTACAAGTAACTACCACACTGTACAATTAGTAAAAATGCCTTATTTCTGATAATAACTTATCATTCAGGTCAAATTGAAATATGCCATTCTTATCTATATATAAAAGCCTAAGCAACCGTTAGGACCGAATGACTGGAACAACCAGCAGACCAGTTGCTATGACACACACTGACCACCAAGGGTCAGATGCTCAATGCAGGAGCTGCCCCCTGGTGGTCAGTGCACTACCACAGCCAACATCCCGCAGCCCCTCCCCCTGACTGGCCAGCCCCCCAAATCAGCCCTGAGGGGGGTGCTGGCTGGCCCACCTCCTGGGGTCCCTACCCCCAGCCAATCGCCTCTCAATTGCTGGCCAGGCTGAGGACCCCACCCGTGCACAAATTCATGCACCGGACCTCTAGTAATTTAATAAATATTCTTGGCGTAGCTGGTTTGGCTTAATGGATAGAGCATCAGCCCATGGACTGAAGGGTATGGGTTCAATTCCAGTCAAGGACATGTACCTTAGTTGCAGGCTAGATCCCCAACCCTGGTTGGGGCACATGTGGGAGACAAACCAATCGATGTCTCTCTCACATGAATGTTTCTCTATATATATCTCTCCCCGTCCCTTCCACTCTCTCTAAAAATCAATGGGAAAATATCCTCGGGTGAGGATTAACAAATAAATAAATACTCCTGAATCCCTACCAAGGAAAGAGAAGTAAGAATGAACCTGAGAGTGAGCTATGCATGTCTATACCTCCCCACCGATAGGTCTAGGTTCCATTGTTTTAGTAAATCAAAATGACTCTCTTTCAAACTATCAAGTAATAGTTTGAAAAATAACCAGTTTTCTCTAAGAGTGTAGAAATATGCCCCATGTATATAAAATATCAGTTGATGCTGATAGAGGAAAATAGCAGCTGCTTGCAAGGCTGTAAGATCAGTTCGTGGAAGAACCTGGACCAAGGTCTCTTCTGCACTATTTCTCCCTTCACTTCTCACCCAACCACCCGCCCACCACTGCCTCCAGTCATTCCACTTTACTTGACGGCATGTTTGTCTTTTGCATTGTATACTACTTTGAGAGCTCACCAGCTTTTAATTCATGTTTTTAGGTTCCCCTCCATCCCTTTCCCCATGTGTTGCATGTAGGAGATCCTCAATAAATATTACATATATCTCATATGAACCCAACTCATATATCCTATCTAATAATAGACAAAGATTGAAATTGACCATACCTTCGCTACACCTACCATTGGCTAATCAGAGCGATATGCAAATTAACTTCCAACAAAGATGGCAGTTAATTTGCATACGTAGGCGTGAAGCAGAGGAGCGAAGACTGACGGCAGCTCTGGCTGGAGCAGCGAGGTCTTGAAGGCGGCTCCGGCCGGAGCAAAGGCCTGGGTCCCTGGTGCTGGAGGAAAACCAGTGCCAGCAGCCAGGGAAAGGGAAGGCCTATTGCACGAATCTTTTCATGCAACAGGTCTCTAGTATTAGAATAAGAACCTTAGCCTGAAAGAATAACGAATTTTGGGTGATATTAACATCTTTCTAAACTGAATTTTACTTACAAACATGGTGCTATGGACATGCCAGAAGCTGGGTAGGTGCTTTGTTTTCTCTTCCACTAGAGCAGTGGTTTTCAATCTTTTTCAGCTCCTGGCATACATAAATTAATTACTAAAATTTTGGGCCACACCAAAAATTATATTTTTGCCAATCTGACAAAAAAATGTATAATTTTGATTTACTCACACTGACGGCTGTTGTTGTGTTTGCTATTGTCATTTTATTATTTGACAATCTAAGTAAAAAGTCATTAGTGCCCCTGACTAAATAGTCAGGTATTGCATGTTTTAAAACGTCTTGCAGCACACCGGTTGAAAATCACTGCACTAGAGGGAATAGATTTACAGAGAGCCAGCTATTCTTTTTCATGCTGTCTTCCTTAAGCTCATTTTCCAAAATCTCTTTGGGATTTGGTCCAGTTTTCAGTTATGCACACAATTGCTCTCATTGGCCTTGACCTCACTGACTTACCATTGAACCAGTGGTGATAATTATACACACTAATAGTGCGTCAAGATAACTAATCTCCTTGGGCAGCCAAAATATATGATCATCATTTTCTGCAGTCAAGATTGCTGTCTTCTCTTACCCTGTGGCCCTACCCTGGGAATGTAGTCATCATAAGCCATCAGCTTCAACAAAAAATGTGCTGATACACCAGGACCTTTCCATGATTACGTATTGTTTACAGTAGCAAAATTACAGTTATGAAGTAGCAACAAAAATAATTTTATGGTTGGAGGTCACCACAACATGAGGAACTGTATTAAAGGGTCGCGGCATGAGGAAGGTTGAGAACCACTATTCTAAGGTATAAAATCATCTATGGCAAGAGTGAATGGAGCATATAACCTTTTTACAAAACGTTAAACACAGCATTTCTTGTATGTAATTAGTGCATTCTTTAGTATAAGTTCCTTTGGATTTAAGCGATTGAAATGTGCCTAAGTTTCTATGTGCAGTGTGCCTTGCTGACTGTCTGTAATGTTCTCCTGCAGGCATCTCCATAACAATAGAATCCACTCTCTGGGAAAGAAATGCTTTGATGGGCTCCACAGCCTAGAGACTTTGTGAGTTGACCTTTTATTTGTTTCCCTTTTTTCAGTGTTTTCCTGAGAATTCTGAAGGAATCAAAACAGCCTTAAAGTCGAGATTGCTGTTTGGTTTGGTTAATTGCCTGAGCTTTACACAGATATTCACTGCGGCTTTATCTTACACACAAACACACACCTGGCAAAGCTAAACAAGATTTTATCTTGATCTAACAAGAGTGACAAATTAGCTAGAATCATTAGAAGCTAAAGGAGATGCTTTCCACTGAGCAGAGATGATGTGTTTGGGAATGTGTATTCTGTCGAGAATAAGGACGGAAGGGGGCTACGGGCGGGAAGGGGAATGAGAGATATCTGTAATCCTATCAACAATAAAAATACACTTTAAAAAGAAGAATAAATTCTATATTGTCCAGGATGCAGACCAGGCTGCACTCTGAGATGAACAGGTGTCTCATTAGGAAACAGCAGGGTTCATGCTAAAAGGAAATCTAAAGACTAACAAGTTATGGTGGCTACCATGTATTGAGTATATATCCATAGTCAAATATGGCACTGGACATTTGTCACACTTTCAATTAATCCTACAACTATTCTATGAAAGCAGACATTACTCTCCCATCTTAGGTCCAGTGCTATTAAGGATTTTACCAACATTACATAGCTAGTCAATAGCATAACTGGGATTTGCTTCCTTCTCTAGTTCGACTTCAAAATCCACGTTCACTACTACATTCTACTTCCAAAGAAAAAGTCAAAAACTTAGTTTTGCGTTGTTACCTGTAATGAAACTAGAGCCCGGCCAGCTGACCTGACCGTAGCCTAGAGTGTATCCCAAAGCCCCTTGGAGAAGGGCTTACTATGGGCCACACACCCTGGCTGAGCCCTTCCCCGGGTGAGGAGCGCTCTTCACTGCCCTGTGGAGTGGGAGAGCCGTAGTGAGGTTGGGGTGACAGGCAGAGCAAGCTCTGAGTGTGCTGGGAGAAGAGGGCTGTTCCAGCTGTACCCAACTCCAACCTTCATGTTTTTACTACTCAAGCACAAGAAACCACACAGGGCCACTGAATCGACGATGCTAGCTGTGACAGGACTGCAGAAGAGGATACCCAGGGACCACCTCTGCTGTGGCCTTGGAGCCCCTTATTCATTTGCATACAGAGCTTATCAATTTGCACAGGATCAATTTAACTTCCAACCGGCTCTGCATCCACCGATTTCCTTCCAGACCATCTATTGTTCATGGTCTTCTTGAGGCCGATCAGCACTAACAGCTCTCCTTCCCAGGTTACTTAAGTCACTCTGTGTTTCCTCCTAGAAGGGAGGAATCGTCCTCATAAGGAGATAACAAAGATGAACTTGTCCAGGCAGGACTTTGATGTCAACTCAATGGCATAGGCAAGCAGTTTCCATGGTGCTAGGAAAAATTAGAACTTCTTCCTTATCTACACAGAGCTGGGTGGGGGATCTTAGCAATGGAAAGCACCTTCGGTCCTTTTCAACTCAACAGGAACAAAAACAAGATGCGCTCTGATGGGTATTTCCGTAAATAGTCTCCCCCCACCCCCTAACCCTTCATGTTTAGGTGAGGACCCAGGATTGCATATAAATACCATAGAATAAAACATTTTAGGAGAAATTCCTGCAAGTCTTATTAACGCCCCCTCCCCTCCCCTTGCCCATAGCTGAGGATCAGTCAATTGGTTACTCCCAATGTCCTCCTTTCTCTCACTAGAAATCCAAGTAATTTATAAGGACCCAATACTTTTTTAATCAAAACAGAGCATCTGGAGAGATTTACAAACAGGAAGAAAATTTATGTCCACAAAAGACCCAAGTTTCCTGCCTGCAGTATAGCTTAACGATGGTTTGTGTCAGACAAGTAGGAATCTTGATTCATGTCTAACTCAGTTAAATTATCTCTCTCTTAAAATTAAATAGCAATTCTTTTCCACAGAGGAAGATCTAACCACATCTGATTGCCTGACCAAAAGGTTTTTCTGTGTCTTCTGGGAAATTTGCCATTCCCAGAGACCAGGAGGCAATTACTTTTTCATACAAAGATGTAGCTATAAGGTGGAGTAAATCTATAAAGCTCGTCTGAGTAATGGAATTGAAAAGCCATTTGTGTCATAACAAATAGGGAAATTAATGATTTGAGATTGTTTGGCTTTCCCATCTATGTGCATGAAAAAATAATACAGAGCTTTGTCTCATACACCAACGAAAACATCATACTCCTGATCTGAATCACTATTTGTGTCCCTGAGAAAATTCTAGACCTAATGTGCTTCCTGAGAGGACCCTGCACATATAAACCTCTCCAGAAGCAGGTTGTCATGCGGACCTCAGGCCGTGAGGGACACAGGCACTCCACAGGAGCCAGGGACAAAGCAGCTCTCCAAGAGGGCCTCTCAGGCTAGACTCTAAAAAGCAGGGGGAAGAAGAGAATGGAGGAGGGAACAAGAAAGGGCATGTGACTCAGGAGCCCAGAGTAGTGCCCGTACAATCTGGCAGCTGAGTGAGCTACGCTTAGGTGAAGAGCCACATTAGCAAGTTTTTAACACTTGGCCACACATCCCTCCTACTTGGACACTGACACGGCTCTTTGTGCTCTCCCTTTTTTGAAATGCCCCTGTGCCATTGAGGCTTCACTCTCTGAAATTTCTCATGGTCGATCCAATGGCCATTTTAATGCAGAGACTTGTGGAATGGTGGTGATCAGCAAGCCAGAGAAACCTCTCTCCGTAAAGAGAAGGAATGAGCCCTGGGTGGTGTTGCTCAGTGGTAGGAGCCTTAGCATGGGAACCTAAGAGGTCTCAGGTTTGGTTCCAGTCAAGGGCATGTAATTGAGTTGTGGTTCACTCCCCGTCCTGGTTGGGGCACCTGTAGGAGGCAACCATGTGTCTCTCATGTCTCTCTCTTTCTCTCTCTCTCTCTCTCTCTCTCTCTCTCTCTCTCTCTCTCTCCCTCCCTCAATCCCTCCATTTGACTTCTCTGAAAAAGCAATAGAAAAAATATCCTCAGGTAAAGATTAAATAGAGAAGGAATGAAAATTTTCATCATTGTTACTGGTCCATTGAAATAACATGTTAACTTTCCTAGTAAATGTCATATATATAAATCTGAAAATGAAAAACTAAAAATACTATTTACTTACTTTCAGAGATTTAAATTATAATAACCTTGATGAATTCCCCACTGCAATCAGGACACTCTCCAACCTTAAAGAACTGTAAGTATTTAGGACAGGTTAATTTATTTTTTTTAATGTGACTTAAAGGAAAAATATCTTAATTCATCTAAATGACAGCTAAGTACACTTGAAATATACTGTAATTGATTCTATCATCAGCAAACATCAAATAATCTTTTAAAATTTATAATGGATTTCTAATATATGTATATTGGAAAAAATATATATGTATTTCTCTAATCCATACTTCTTTCCTAAGACATATTTCCCAAATATTTATACACTTTATAGATTTGTGCAGAACTGTAATGGAATTCAGTTATTTGCTGAGCATTTTGAAAAACACTTCTAGGTTGCATGGCAACCTAGAATAAAATGCATGTGCCTAGTACAGTGCTAGATGCTTTCACATACATTATTTCACATTCTTTAAATACTTCATGACTCTTATTTAATTTAAGAAAAACACAACTTTACTAAAATAGAGCTAACCTTCAGCTATTAGGTTGTATATATTCTTTTACATACCATAATTAGTTTTTCACTGTACCTAAAAAAAGCTATGCAAGCAATGTGCTAGCACTTGGAAAGGAAAATAAGCCTAGAAGCCATTTTCCTGGCAGAGAGAAATAAGACACACAGCTAAAGGAGGTAGACAGCAGGGCTTGTTTATTTAAAAAAACAACAACCAATCTTCAGGAGGTCCTGCCTTGGGAAAACCCACTGTGGCCTAACTGGGAAGTCATCGTTGTCGATGGCGAGGCAGACCAACCACTGCCACTCATCTTGTCCACAGGCCCGCATGGGACCCAAAGACCTTCGACTGCGCCCCTCTGCCACTCAGACAACATTAGCATCAACAGATGAGAATCAGTTCGTTATTACAGACTCACTAAGCACCTTCCTTCAGCTCAGGAAATCCTGTTCTCAGAAGGAGATTATTTAAATCTCCACCTCACTGCAGCTTAAGTCCATGTTCTCTTCTCCTAGTTTCAAATGGGGTCATGGCCTGTCTCCAAAGATGGTTCCCTCTGTCTCAAGTGGTTATACACAGTGCTCTATCAGATATTAACAGATGCATTTTCTTTAATAACACTAGATTGTAAGTTTCCATAAAGCACAATTATTATTTTCAGATTCTTTATTTTTCTTTCAAGATGACAGCCTGTGATTTCTTTTTCTCCTAGAGAGTGAGGGCATGTAAGTTTCAAAATGCATAGAGGAATTTAACCTGAGCCTCTAGTTACTAACGGTGCTGGTAACTGCCATGGGGAGAGAAGGTGAGGACTAATAACTAAATTTATCCCACACAGTATTTCCTATAAATTTTTTTTTCTTCTCTTTCTAGAGGATTTCACAGCAACAATATCAAGTCAATCCCTGAGAAAGCATTTGTAGGCAACCCTTCTCTTATTACAATGTAAGTGGCCATGGTTCTTTTTTATTTTTCCATCCTGAAATAGAGCATGCATTGCTCTTTTAAATATAATATAATAAATGGTCTATATGTGCCCAAGTTTTTTCTCAGTCAATGTAAGACTTAATACAGAGAAATATTTAGAGAGATGTTTTGCCAGGTTTTAGCTAAATGCTGAAATAATATAAAAGGTTTGTTTTTCTAAGACCTTCAATATGCATTGCATTATGCTTCATATCTTCAGATGCCTTTTCTCACTTCGCGATAATCCTGTGAAATGCTTTGCTTCTCTCTATTTTATAAGGAATAAAACTGATTTTTAAAATGAATCCAAGTGTACTAGAAATGTAAATTGTTATATACAAACTAGAGGCCCGGTGCACGAAATTGATGCATGGTGGGGTCTGGTGGGCCCACCCCAATGGGGAGGGGGGGCAACTGAGCGTGGGGCTGGTTGTGGGGAGGAGCCTCAGGCTGTTGGCCAGCCGGTCCCACCCCCTGATTGATTTGGTCCATTTGCATTTTCACCTGCTGGCTCCTAACTGCTCGCCTGCCTGATTGCCCCTAACTGCCCTCCCTGCCAGCCTGACCCCCCTGCCGGCCTGGTGGCCCCAACTGCCCCCCCCTTCCCACAGGCCTGGTCACCCCTCGCAGCCTGCTGCTCAGTTGCTTAGTCGTCCCTCACTAACCCCCCTGCCAGCCTGGTCATCCCATGCAGCCTGTTTGTTCAGTCATTTGGTTATCTCTCACTAACTTCCCTGCCAGCTTTGTCACCCCATGCAGCCTACTGGTTGTTACTGTTACTGTGACGGCATCCTGGACAATTTGCATATTCCTCTATTAGATAGAAGTCCTTTACAACAATAAACTCCAGCCTAAGTTGATGGTGGAGAATGAGAATACTATTTTATGCTGTCTGTATATCCACTGATTGTCAAGCCAACCATGAAGTCACATTTATATAATTACAAGCTAAGTTGTAATTCTAGAAATATACATATGTTTTAGAAAGGTGTATATGAGGATTTAGGTACCATAAAAGCACACAATACTTACAGCTTTAACAAATAATTAATTCTATGTTTCACATTTAGCACAGACATCAGATTGATCATATGTAGATATACAAGAAGATGAAAATATGTTAGTATTGGGCTGGCTCTTAGTTAAAAGATACCTGGCAGATTTGGGACATAGGATTGGACTGAGGTCATGGGTGAAGGTGAAACCAAAATGTGGTGTTCCGAGTCTGAGTTCGTTGTCTCACAGAACCAAAGAATGGATTCACGGTCAAAAACGATTAGCGGAGGCAAAGTTCATTGAGGGATAGACGGACTTCCTGCAGCAGGGGGCAGCAAGAAGGGGACCCAAAGCAGGTTACTGGTGAAGCTTCTTTGTCTCAGGTTCCGAAATCCCATGCCCCTTAAACCAGTCCTGGAAAAGGTGCAGCTGGTGTTCCAAAAGCAGGCCAGTGTCCAGAGCTTCTGTTCCATGTTGCAGCTGGGTGTAGCTCAGCATCCAAGCTAACTAAAGTCCATCTGTCCATGTGTGCAGTCCCATATGGCCACAAGCCACATGGGCGCAGAGGAGTATATCCCCTAAGATAGGAGCCCAGTGCACCAGAGAGAGAGAAGAGAGTGTGTGCTTCTTTGTCCAGAGGTAAATTCATGCTTGCTAGTTCCTGATTGGTCCTTTCAAAAAATTCTGCCTTAGCAACATCCTTGGGATTGATTATACACCTCACTGCCTTGCGATTGGCTATCTGCAAGTTGCCTGTCTTAGTAGCATCTACACATTTTAAAGTTCAGGTCTCCCTCGCACACCCTTCTTTCCCCACCTTACTGGGTTCCCTGGTTCTAGGTCCTTTTGTTTTTTCTGAGGTGCGGTCAGCAAGCTGTATCTTGTTTGCATCTGCAAGGTCCTGTTATTCTAGGACTTCCCACTCTCCCCCCTCTCCCCACATCCCGTCTCAAGGTCCCATCCCTGACTGCCTAGCCCTCCTGTCTCCTCAAGGAGTCTTGAATTTGGAGGAAGAGAGTAAGGACAACTGTTGAACATGACTCTAGGGGCACTTCTTGGCAGAAATCCATCCTGTGCCAACTTGATTGAGAGGCATTCTGGGACTGCATACCATTTGTCACAAATGAGCTGGAGTCCCAATTAGCCCTGACAACTAAGAAAAAAAAAATACCATTCATCATTCCTGAAATGTTCTGACAGTATGTTGGAAAACTAAGGGTTTTAAAGTTTATTGCCAATAAACATTAGTCCTCATTAGAGAGTATTTACATAGTTAAGAGGTTGGCAACTTGCATTGCCTTTGCTTCTTTTTCCTAGCAGCTGCAGGACTGGGTATGTGTTTTTTAATCACTCTCTTGATATGCTGATACCACTTAAAGGGGACTAACAGCCCCCCAAATTATTAGTGCTCCTATCCAATACTTGATGTTGACTTAATCCCTCCTCTCCTTGCTTCTGCTTCTGTTTCCATCTCTTGTCATTGCCATCCCCACCCACGCCCCTTCCCGGATTCCCACTTTCCGTGAAGGCAAAGGCTTCCTGCATCTATTGGCTACTCAGGCCTTATTTCTACCTCTGCAGTCCCATCCTATGCCTAACTTCCCATCCAGCTGCCCATCAGCCTCTCTGCTAGCAATTACCTCTATATGTGCATCAGTCTAAGGCTCATCTCCCTGCCTACCCCACTGGTAGGGTCATCTCTCTTGAAATACAGCACCCATATTGTCACTCTCTTGCTGTGAAACATGCAGAAACTCGGGATTTTCTATTTTCTATTAAATGCGCACTCCTTAGCCCGACTTTCACAGCCTCCCATGTGGCCCAGGCCAACCCTCCTGATCAGTTCTCCAAAGCTCTACTCAATTACCCTACACACAGTCCAGACCAACTCAGCTCAATTCATAAAATGAATCTTTCCTTGTTTCCTTTGCTCCTATGATGCTATCTCTTCACTATACTTACTGAAGTTTTGTTTTCCAGGGTCTATTTCAAATGACATTTCCATGAAATTTTTCCTGGTCTCATGAGGGAACTCCCATCTGAGAACCCTTTGGCTCCTTATTTGTGTCAGTGATAAGTCTGCCTAGGTATACAAGCGTGTGTATCATATCTGCCCAGGGTACACATCTACACTAATAAAAGAGAAAATGGTAATTGGCGTACGACCGCTACCCTTTTCATTGGCTAATCAGGGCTATATGCAAATTAACTGCCAACTAAGATCGCGGTTAATTTGCATATGTAGGCACAATGCAGGGAGGTGAAAGGGAAAGCAGGAAGAAGCCCCCTGCCACTGACAGTGATCGGAAACCCAGGGGGGAGCTAATGCCTTGGCCAGAGGCGTTAGGCCTGGGCAGGGGAAGAGCCTGCAACCGCGGATAGCTGGTGGTCCCCTGCCCAGGCCTGAGACCTATGCCGGAGGCCTCAGGCATGGTCAAGGGGCTGATCTGGTGATTGGCGATCGGAGGGTGATGAGGGTCAACTCCTCTGGCTGAGGCACCAGGCCTGGGCGGGGGGCTGGGGGTCCCCTGCCCCGGCCTAATGCCTTGGCCAGAGGCGTTAGGCCTGGGCAGGGGCGGAGCCTGCAACCGCAGATAGCTGGGGGTCCCCTGCCCAGGCCTGACGCCTGGGGCAGAGGCCTCAGGCCTGGGCGGGGGTCAGAGCCAGTGATGGGGGGAGATGGGGGTCCCCTGTCCCAGCCTGACACCTCTGGCAGAGGCGTCAGGCCTGGGCAAGGGACCGATCAGGCGATCAAAGGATGATGGGGGTCTACACCTCTGACCAAGGCATCAGGCCTAGGCAAGGGGCAGAGCCAGCAATCAGAGGGGTCTGGGGGTCCCCTGCCCAGGCCTGACGCCTGGGCCAGAGGCATCAGGCCTGGGCTGGGGGCAGAACCAGTGCTGGGGGGAAATGAGGGTCCCCTGCGCAGGCCTGTTGCCTTTGTCAGAGGCTTCAGGCCTGGGCAAGGGGCCGATCCTGTGATTGGAGGGTGATGGGGGTCAACGCCTGAGGGCTCCCAGTATGTGAGAGGGGGCAGGCTGGGCTGAGGGACACTCCCCCCCACACACACACATATACACCCAGTGCACGAATTTCGTGCACCGGGCCCCTCGTATATGAATAAATAAGCACATAGTGCAGATAAAGAATAATGTAATATTATGAGGCAAATTCTATTTTTTAGTCCCTTTTGTGTTATAATAAGATTTGACCAGAGGATAGACTCTTCATGTAACATATAAAACTTCACCTTTAATTAATGCTACACTTGCCAGCACCCTGAATTACCTTTCTGCCACTCAATAGAGTCCACAGATGTTGGAGGCACAGGGAAATTTTTAAGTAATAACGACAGTCAGTTCACTTGCTTTTCTCCTTCGTAGCTATCATTCATATCTGCTGTCAGAAATTTTCTATCTTAAATAGTATGGATTTCTTACCAAAAGTCTCATCATATGAGTTAAAACACTTTTGAGGTTGCCTGAAACCAAGTGATTGGGAATGTTATATAATACTAGAGGTCTGGTGCATGGATTCATGCACTGGTGGGGTTTCTTAGCCTGACCTGCACCCTCATGCAATCAAGGACCCCTCGGGGGATGTCTGCTTTGAGCATCTGCCCCCTGGTGGTCAGTGCCCATCCTAGTGGCCGGTCAAATGGTTGTTCGGTCATTTTGGTCATTCAGTTGCTTAGGCTTTTGTATATAGAGATAGTATAATTGAAATTACATAAAAACATTGAATGTACTGGTTGAAATTTGCCATTCATGTTTTATACTAAGACATTGGTGCTTGGATTTTTTTTTTCAGACATTTCTACGATAACCCGATCCAGCTTGTTGGAAGATCCGCTTTTCAGCATTTACCTGAACTAAGAACACTGTAAGTTTTCTCTGACATATCACTTTCCCCTTGTAGGGTTGCTGTAAAAACCAAATGTATATTATAAGTTGAAGTGCTTTGAAAATGGGAATAAAAACTACCCATTTTTCTCTGGCCAGCATGGCTCAGAGGTTGACCGTTGACCTATAAGCCAAGAGGTCACGGTTCAATTCACGGTCAGGTCACATTCCCAAGTTGCGGGCTCAGTCTCCAAGGTGGGGCGTGCAGGAGGCAGCTGATCAATGCTTTCTCTCATCATTGATGTTTCTATCTCTCTCCCTCTCCTTTCCTCTTTGTAAGCAATAAAACTATATATATTAAAAATATATATTTTAAAAAGATATATTTAATAATTTTTAATTATCCATTTTTATCTTCTCCCAATAATTCTCATGTATCCCTCCTTCTAGGACTTTGAACGGTGCCTCGCAAATCACTGAGTTTCCTGATTTGAGTGGAACCGGGAGCCTGGAGAGCCTGTGAGTACTTGAGAAGGCTCTTGACTTTGACCAGAACAGGCACTGCTTTTAAAGCCCAACCAGTCTGAATGCCAGTGAATCAAAATATGTCCGTGTGATGCCTGAATAAAAGAGCTATGTCTGGTTTTGTGTTTCAACAGGACTTTAACTGGAGCACAGATCTCATCTCTTCCTCAAACCGTGTGTGATCAGTTACCTAATCTCCAAATGCTGTGCGTATCAGTAAGGAAATAACGCTCTGTGAACAGGCAGCTGCTATCTAGGGGTGAAGTGGCAGACATTATTTCAAAAATCCTTTAAAAGAGGAGAAAGTTCTTTCCTTGCTCTTCTCCAGGAGGTCAGGCCTCCTTTGCCCTCTGTGGGCCAGGGAAGCGGCTCTCTGATGGGACCCTGGTAATGATGGCAGTACACCGTGTTTCCAAACCCCAAACGTCTCCCACTGGAGTCCAACTGGCACACATTTCCTTTAAGAAAATGGATATGAACAAGCCCAAATAACTTCCTTTCCCCCTTTAAAGGCTTTTCAGAGCAGAAAAAAATAGATTAAAAACTCACTATGGATGCCAAAATAAAAAATTAAGCTATCGGATGCACACAAACCTTGATAAAGGCAACCAAACATTCTTCCGGTATAGTTGTGGGTGCCATGTTCTAATGTTTCCTCTAATGGTTAAACTGTTTGCATATGTTATTTCTGTTGGCTTGGAGCTTTTTGCTCTGCCTTTCTTATGTTTTATGAAAAGTCGTTTATAGGAACTTGAAGAGCTTTGTTTGACCTTCCATTCTTAGCCCTCTCCCTCAAATCCCACTCAACCCTATTATCATCCTCTCAAGCATTGTTGGGACTTAGTGAAAGGGCCCTTCATCTTTTGCCATGGTTCTGTTCTCACGCAGTAGACATCTGCGGCCATGGAATGCCTGTAATTCCACCATAGGCTTTGCCTAGTAGCAGCGCTACAAGCAGCACTACAGATGTTAAGTGGAGGATTGGGAATGTCTGCCATGGTGGTTCTGCCTTCCCCCATTCCCAGCCTGCATGTCACTCCAGGCCACAGTTGCTCAGTGTATGGAGTTGCAATAACACCATGTGATAGCCTTGGAGTCGGGCATTTGTGTTTGAAGGAAAGGGACAGAGCTGGTCTCTGGTTATTCACCCCACATTGCCCTAGAGAGATACAAGTGAGAAAACTGAGAATTAGGAAACTTAAGTGCAAGAAAGTAGCAGAGTCCAAATTTTAAACACAAGCAGTTTCATTGAATAACTAGGCAAAAGTGTACGTACAGCAGGTGGTGGAAATCATGGAGCCATCTTAGAATTCTCCCTACCACCTACAGAATAGGTATAATTATCCTCATTTCTTGAGGATACTGGATTAATACCATGACAAGAATTTCACATCCTATAATTAATAAGTTGGGAGCCAGTATTTAAATTTCATCTGTTGCCTGGCTGCTGTTGCTCAGTGGTTGAGCGTTGATCTATGAATCAGGAGGTCACAGTTCCATTCCGGGCCAGGCCACATGCGCGGGTTGCAGGCTCAATCCCCAGTAGGGGGCGTGCAGGAGGCACCAGATCAATGATTCTCTCTCATCGTTGATGTTTCTATTTTTCCCGCTCCCTTCTTCTTTGAAATCAATAAAAATATATTTTAAAATATTAATAATAATAAAAATAATAATAATAAATTGCATCTGTCTCCACTATATCACACAGTAAATAGTAAACCACCCAGGTCTAGAACTGCATAAATGAAGGCTGACTGACAAATTGGTTATGCACAAAGACTCTGGGGTCTGTTTTTCTGGTTCAAGTACAGTCTCTCTCTATACCAGCACAGTATCTTGAACAACTTGTTTATTCCTTCTCAGTTCTGTTTCCTAATCTATAAAGTACAGGTGTAATTACTTTCTTCAGAGGATCATCATGAGGATTAAATACCAGCCCCGGGAATATTGCAAACTCTCAGGCAGTGTTAACTCATCATCTTGTTTCTCACTTCCATTATTCTTTCCTCAAGCTGAAACTAGAAAGGCTTGAAAATACACAAATACCTTAATAGCAGTATCTTGCCATTTTCAAAGCACTTCAACCTACAATATTGATTTGTTCTTCCCAACAACTCTGCAATATCAGCAAAGCAGGCATCTTCTCACTTAAGGAGAGAACTGAGAAAGATATCAATGCTCTGGCCAAGTAGAATGAGTTGAAGTTGAGAACAGAATTCAGAGTCCTGACCTCTACTACAGTCAACTTTAGGTTCTAGAAGCAGAGGTTTGAGAGCAACCCTCTTAGGCTGAATCATCCATGGGTCCTTGTTACATGAGGAAATTTAACTGCACTTGAATGGTTTTGCCCCCAACTTGTTTCACCTC